TAGAAATGGCTTCCTCTTTGCACTGTAGAGTTTCAGCTGGCAACGGCCGATGGCACAGTGGATTGTTTCACTGACAATGCTTTCTGGAAGTATTCCTGAACCCATTCTGTTATTTCCTTGACAGTGGCATTCCTTTTTGAGGTGCAGTGACGTTTAAGGGCCCGGAGATCACGAGCATCCAGTAGAGTTTTACGGCCTTGACCATTACGCACAGCGATTGTTCCAGATTCTCTGAATCTTTTGATGATGTTATGCACGGTCGATGATGATAACTTAAAAGTCTTTGCTATTTTACGCTGGGTAACACCATTCTGGTATTGCTGCACTATGTTTCTGCGCAACAATGGTGGAATTGGTGATCCTCTTACCATCTTGGCTTCTGAGAGACACTGACACTCTGAGAAGCTCTTTTTATACCCAATCATGTTGTCAATTGACCTAATTAGTGTTAATTTGTCTTCCAGCTGTTCGTTATATGATCAATTTCCTTTTTCCAGCCACTTATTGCTACTTGTCCCAACTTTTTTGGGATTTGTTGACACTGAAATTTTGAATCAACATATTTTTTCTTTAAAATGTTACATTTACTCAGATTAAACTTTTGATCTGTCATCTATGTTATATTACGAATAAAACATTGACATTTGCCATCTCCACATCATTGCATTCAGTTTTTATTCACAATTTGTTTAGTGTCCCAACTTTTTTTGGAATCCGGTTTGTACCAAAATAAAGCTGAAAATAGGCAGATTAAGACCTGAACATGTTATTCTTGTCAGAGGAGAGCCCCTGTGCAAGTGTCCAAATACAACTCCAGTGCTTCTGAGACAGCAGGAAACATATAGCACCATTTTGAATGAAGATTTGTTGCACATTCTTTGGATCGTGTACAAAATTCAAAGATTAGAGTTGAGGCTCTGCAGCTCACAAGAAAAAATTGTAAACCGCTGTGAGTGCAACCAACCTTGATGTCTCTCAAATGCTGTTCGTCAACTTGTCTAGCAGTGTCAACCCAGTGACATGCTGCTTTAACAAGTGAGGGAAAGCCCTCCCCGGATTCAGAAACCTTACTCTTGCCCAAATCACGAGTGCACCATTACAACAACCTTTAGCCCTTACCTTTCATGTCTGCACTACATGTTTATAGACGTGCATTAAAGTTGAAATTTCCTTAAAACCCAACAATTTATTTTCCTCAGTCTCGGTGAGAAACATATTTTAGATGAGTAGTGTTGAACACGAGTACAAGTCTAGTGGTGATGTTGAGTTTGTATTTCACTCGCCCATAAACATAATGAGCACAGACCCGACGCTGTGTGTTAACGTGCATTAAAGTTGAAATGTCTTTAAAATCCACAGCTGACTTTCCTCAAACTTGATGAGAAACGTGCTTTTAAAGTGTAAAATCAATTAAGAAATCTGGTGAAATGTTACCGTTTTTGTACGCCATACGCAACGGCGCTTGCGCAAAGAATGCCCAGCCATAAAGAATGTTGTACCATATTTTTCAGATTATAAAGCGCACCAGATTATAAGGTGCATTAAGCGAAACAAAAGAGATAAGTCAAACTTTATTCAATTCTTTCACAATAACCACATAAAATCGGTACGAGGTCAGAAAGCACAACCAGAATTAATTAATACATAAAGTGCACATGATTACAAGGCTCACAGTCGATTTTTGAGAAAATTAAAGGATTTAAGTGCACCTTATAGTCTGAAAAATATGGTAATCGAGCACTCTTTATTTGGGCAAGAATAAGGTTTCCTAATGGCTTTTTGTTTCATTCAACCTTTATTTAGAAGGTTAATCCCATTGAGCCTCGGGGACTCATTTACAAGAGACTTGATTTTAACAAAGAATGATGACAACAGTGGACAACAGAGACAACATACAAATTTTACATGCATACAAACTGAGAATAAGTGAAAATAAAATGGTATTTAAAAAATGTAACAAAAACAGCTAGGCGAAGTACGACATGTCTGCATTAATGTCTGCAGCTTTACCGGAGTCATTAGCATCACTTCTACCAGGAGAAATGTTTTACAGCCCAAATTAAAACCACAGTGTACCTTTATGAAGGTGATGCCCACCACCAGGCCTCTTTTAGGCGAAGACTTGTTGAAGGCATCAATTGATACGATTTCTGCGTCCACTAGAGAAAGAAGACGAACACATCGGTTTTTAAACTACTTTTTAAATCATATGTTCTTTAAAAGAACAGGAAGCCAGTTAACTCGCTGGTACCTGGTATATAAGTGAACTGAACCTCCTTGGCCACCGGCCGGACTTTGTGCTGCAGCTCCTGGTACTTGAAACACACCACCTTCCCTTTGAGAGTGGCCGCCAGCAGCTGCTGCTCCCCGGCCTCACACAGCCCGTAAATGTTGCTCTGAGACGGGAACCGGCTGAAACTGTCCTCCACGAACGAATACGACTCCCCGAGCATACTGGACCGGGTCTGGACTGAGCTCGTTGACTTTTAAACTTTTATTCATTTAACCTGTTCATGTTTGTGTAGAAGTCCCTTTACTTCTCTCACAGAGAACATTATTCATCTTCTGTTTGCTCTTGTGGTTCTTTGTGGTTACCCAATCTGTTGCAGAACCCGATCCGTAGTCAACTCTTGACTCTTCTTCTTCTTCTTCTTCTTCTTATTCTTCTTCTTCTTCAGTTTTATTGGCGGTTGACAAACAACTTATGGTGTGCATTACCGCCATCTACTGGAATGGAGTGTGGCTCGGGATGCTAACTAAATACTACACAGGTTTTAACAAAAATAAATAATAATAATAATAATTATTATTATAATTAACTAAATAAAATAATAAGAAAATAAGAAAAAAAAAATATATATTCTCTCGATTATTTCCGTCTTCTTAAGGTAGCTTAACAAAAAACAAAAAAACTATATGTTCAGAAGTGAGAAGTTTATCCAAAAGATCCTGTATATTCAACTGTAGTTTGTTGACCTGTAGTCTATGTGCCAGTTCCTTTCTCTCAGCTGAATATTTGGGACAGAATAATAAAACATGATTCACTGTCTCTTCTTGGAAACAAAAGTCACATTTTCCTGTATGATGTTTTCCCATTTTAAACAATGTACTGTTTAATCTTGTGTGGCCAAAACGTAATCTGGATATGACTGTTTCCTCCTTTCTATTTCGTCCTGTTCTCCTCATTACACCAACTTTCCTTTGAATGTTATAAAGCCACCTGCCAGTTCTTTCTTCTTTCCACTGTTTCTGCCATCTTTCCTTCACCTTTTGTTTAATAACTGATTTGATTTCTCCTTTACTGAATGGTACCAATATATCAATGTAAGTATTTTTTGTTGCTTGTTTTGCATATTTATCTGCCAACTCATTTCCTTTTATTCCTATATGTGATGGTATCCATATAAATGTAATTAATAAACCCATCGCTTGTGAATTCTATAAATTAATAATTGAATTTCTAATAAAAGGTCAGGTCTGCTGTCTGAATGATTATTTTTCAATGAGTATAATGAAGAACTTGAATCAGAACATATTATACTCCTTAATGGACGAACTTCCTCAATCCATCCCAGAGCTAAAATGATTCCCATCATCTCTCCTGTGTAGACCGAGACTCCATCAGTAATTATTTTACCTGTTTTGAAACTGAATTCTGGAACAATGAATGAACCCCCGCTACTGTTATTTGAGTTTTTTGATGCATCTGTATACATTTTGACATATCCATAATACTTACTATCTAAATATGCTTGTATTGAATGAGGATCTGAAATGTTTTCTTTTTTACGATTTTCCAACAAAGTGAGATCAACATCACTATTAGTTAAAAGAGATGGGTGAACTGGAGACTGAGGAACTGTTTGACTAATATTTATGTGAGATATATCTAAATCTTTTATAATGTTTTCTACAGTCCATCCAAATGAATTTAATTTCTTTTTCTCTTTTTCCCAGCTAGGGTTTAAAATCTCTTGACATGGATGATTTTCATTATGACCTTTTAAATGACACCAGTAAGTTGAAATTATTTGTAATCTTCTAAGCTGAAGTGGCATTTCTCCCATTTCCACCAGTAAAGCTGATGTTGGAGTTGTTCTGATGGCACCTGTACATAATCTCAAGGCTTGATGTTGAATATTATCTAATTTTTTGAGTAATGTAACTGATGCTGACCCAAATGCTATACTACCATAATCAAATAAGGATCTAATTAAACCTGTGTATATTGATTTCAATGCTTTCCTCTAAGCTCCCCACTCACTTCCCACCAAACACCTCATTACATTTAACACTCTCTTACATTTATCTATTATGTTTTGAATATGCACTTTCCAAGTAAGTTTGTCATCTAAGCATAGACCCAAAACCTTAAATTGCTTTACCCTTTCCAAATCATGATTATATATTTTAAATTTTACATTTTCTGATACTTTTTTCCTTGTAAAAAATAAAGTCTTCGTTTTATCTATAGAAATTTTGAATCCCCATTTAAAGGACCAGTCTTCTATTTCATTAATTGCTTCTTGTGTCTTTTTTACAATAAAATTTAAATTTTTTTCCCCTCTTCCAGACTGCCCCATCATCAGCAAATAAAGAAAACCCCATTCCATTCTCCAAATTTTCAAACATATCATTAATCATTATAGAAAAAAACAATGGGCTCACTATACATCCTTGGGGAGTTCCATTTTCAACCAAAAATTTTTCTGAAAATGTTTTTCCTATTCTCACTTGTATTGATCGATCTTGTAAAAAATCTTTTAGCCAATAAAACATTGAACCATTTATTCCCATCTTTTCAAGTTTTATTAATAAACCTTCTTTCCACATCATATCATAAGCTTTCTCTATATCAAAAAAGACAGCCACCACACTCTCCTTATTAACTTGTCCTTTCCTGATTTCATGTTCTAAACATAAAACAGGATCCATAGTGTTTCTACCTTTTCTAAATCCACTTGGGAATTTTGATAAATATCCCCTCTTCTCAACAAAGTAAGTCAGTCGTTCATTTATCATTCTCTCCATAATTTTACATAAATGTGAAGTTAAAGCTATAGGTCTATAACTGGCTGGATTTGATCGTTCTTTACCTGATTTGAGGATTGGAACTATGATTGCTTCTTTCCATGCTTTAAGTAAAAAGCCCAATTCCCAGATCTTATTATATAATTCCAGTAAAACCTTTTTAGATGAATTACTAAGCTGATTAATCATAATGTAAGAGATATTGTCATTTCCTGGAGATGAGTTTTTTGATTTCCTAAGGGCATTATTCAGTTCAGAAAAAGAAAAGGGAGCATTTAATAAGTCAGTGGATCTTATATTTTCTTTTAATAAATGAATATTTTCATTGATTGTACAATTTCTCCTCTGTTTCTCATCTGTACTTAAATTACTACTACTGTGGATTTTAACAAAATGTTTGACCAAAATGTTTGCCTTCTCTTCCTCTGTTACAGCAGTAACATCTCCATCTTTCACAACTGGATATCCATATTCTCTTCTAATCCCATTCATTCGTTTTATCATCTCCCAAACTTTTGAAATGTTTGTTTGCCTACCTACCGAATTACAAAAGTTTCCCCAATAAACCTTTTTTGCATTTTTTACAGTTCTTTTAACAAGAGCTTGCAACCTTTTATATTCAATAAAATTCTGAAAGTTATGATTTCTTTTTAACAATCTAAAAGCTTTATTTCAAGATTTTATTGCTACATCACATTCCTTTGTCCACCACGGTACAACTTTCTTCTTATATTTTCCTCTCTTTCTTTGGATTGCTTCACGTGCAGCACCTAAAATGGCTTCACAAATAGAAAGATTTAAATTGTCAATATCTAAATCAATATTAACTATTTGCATTTCTTTATTACTTATTATTTTATATTTTTCCCAATCAGCACTTCCAAAGATCCATCTTTCTACACCTTCATTATCAAATGTTTCCATTTCCAAACCAATTTCAATTAATATAGGATAATGATCACTTCCTATAGTTGACTCTTTTAATACTTGCCAATTACTAATCCCAGCTAAACTCTCTGAAATTAAAGTTAAATCTAATGCTGATTCAGATCCATTTCTAATATTGATTCTTGGCCCCTCCCCATCATTAAGGCAAACTAAATTCTTTAGATCCATTATTTCTTCCACCACCTCTCTATTAGCATCATTACTACTACCCCACAAAGTACTGTAAGCATTAAAGTCTCCACAACAGATTACTTTTCCTTCAATATTTTTAAACATTTCCTCCATTTTATCTAAATAAAGTTTTTTACAGGGATTATAAAAATTTAATGTTTTAATACTTTCTTTATTAATCCAAATTTCTACAGATATCCATTCTAATGTTATTCCTTTTTCTAAATATCTATATTGTATTCCTTGTTTTATAAATATTATACATCCTCACAAAGTTTGTTTTCTCAGTCATCCAGGTATATAACAACAAAAAAGGTTGAATCATGTCATCTGGACTTCGTTTTTTTTTGTTAAAAAGAAACGTTTCGCCCCTCATCCAAGAGGCTTCGTCAGTCTGAGGCCTAGCTATCTGGTATTACCCAGAAGCCACCCTGACTCTTGTGTTTCAAGCTTGCCTCAGATACCCCTGAAGTCTGGCCTTTTCACTAATGGTTTCAAAAACACAAAGTTTGTTTTCTCAGTCATCCAGGTATATAACAACAAAAAAGGTTGAATCATGTCATCTGGACTTCGTTTTTTTTT